CCCTCCCGCTTTGGAGGGCGGCCCGGGGCGCCTGGATCACGTGGGCGTGGGGAAAGGGGGCAGCGAGCCCATTGGACGCTCTGGCGCCGGCCGGTGGCTTCGGTCCTCCCGCGGGGGGCCCCGTGGGACGCGGAACCGGCCGCCGGAGGAAGCGCCCGCCCTTGCGCGTGGAGGAGAGGCTGGCCCTCCTGGCCTCCGGAACATAAAGGGCCTTGAGGTGGGCATTGCAGCAGCCGATGCACATGCATACGTGCTGGCTGCTGCAGACGAGCCCCATTTCATCCACGTTGGTGTCTTAACGGGGTTGCGGATGGGGCTTGCTGCAGCTTATATGGGTCTCTCCCCTTTTGACCCCCTGGAATAGAACCCTGTGACCCTGGGAACAGGATAGGATTTGCAGAACACTGCAGGGCTGGAACAAGGATGCGCGACTTCTGCATCAGCCGAAAGGGTAGCAGCCTTTTCCCTGCAACCAGGGACAGTTAGGAAGAAGATCAGAGGGACCAAAGAGGCCTCCTAACGACCCATCGATAAGTGGGGGTTCAACTGCAGATAGCCAGTTTCCAAGATTCTGTAAGCTAACCCTATTCCTTTCAATACATCTGACAAACGAGATGCAGCCTGTAAGAAAGGAGCTTTCTGGTAGGGACTTGACCGCATGTGCATTTCCAGCAGCCTGTTATGGTTGCTGTGGTTGGAGCAGCTGCTGAACTTAGAGGGAGAGGCAAAGAAGTATTTTTCCTAGGTTGGACTGCCCAGCTGGATCCACTGTTTCAATTTGTGTGCCACTGGGGTAATGTGGCAGATCAGTGGGTTTTGCTCTCCTGAAAGTTTGACAGTTAAAGTTTGCAAACCGATGGCTCTTATGCTTTATTAGGAAATAGGGCAGTCCTTCTGTTGGGGGGAGGATATTGATAATGGTTAATTCTTTATTGGAGGTTGATGGTTTCTGTATTTAGTGCAAATAATGGGATTGGATTTCTGGGAAGATAAGGTAGGAGCAGGAACGTCTCTCACTGCAGATTTTTAGGGTTGCAGAATTGGAAGTGAGTTGTTGAGATCAGCTGCTTTGTCACAGAGGGATTTCTTAATTTGTGGCTTAAACGAAGCTACAATTATGCTACAAATTAAATTTGGGTTAAGTTCACTTCTTTGGACCTCAGCTGTTTGGAGGATAACCTTATGATTTGCAATAGCTTTTTAAAAAATTTACAGTCCAGATTGCTAAGTCGTCGTGTTGGAATGACAGCCGTTTGGAACGTCAGATGAACTGAAACAAAAATGGTGTTTAATTGAGTTATTAGCATGTCTGGTGTCCAGCCCTTCCTTCTTTTACCCTCTTTCCCAGGGGAGAGCTGTCTCATTTTTAGCTGGTGAATAGGATTGAATTGAGGAATGAAAGGCAGGCAGATCAATTCAGTTGCTATAGTTCTAGCATTCTCTGCCATTGACATGGAAATGTGCTGTGCTAGCCTTCCAAACGTGTTACATAATCCTCTCCTGCCAAATTTGTATTCTGTGCAGTGCTGGTGTCTTCTTTTACATTTGCATATAAAGCTAAAGTCCTGCACTGGGGTGAACAGCCATGCATTTTCTGCAGTTTTTCCTAAAATAAACTAGTGATTAGAAGAAAAAGTGAAAATTGGACCACCTCAACAGAAAAGTATTTTGTGAGGCTGAACATTGGTCCTGGTTCTTAACTTGTCCAGTATGATACATGTGGAACTTGTCAGTTTGTCCTTTTCAATCTACTAAGAAACACTTGTGTAAAAAGAAATCCAAAGGGTAAACGTAGGTTTTTATTTAGGCATTCTTTGCTTATGAGGAGACGACATGCAGGATTTCAAGAACCGGTGCAGAATCAATTATTCTTTAACTCTACAGCAGTACTGTTTGCTGTGTTTGCTTCGGATTAATCCAGAAAGAAGGTTTTCAGAGGGCACTGTTTCTTTAACCCAGTAAAATATGTTCCCATTTTGCAAACATAATACATCTTTCCATGCATTTCTAATTGGATATTCAAATGTGTCTCCTTCACACTGTGTTCTTTTGCAGCCGCCCATCTCATATTATGGTACTTCCTGTCCTCCTTTGTGGTCTCCTGTTTCCAACAGTGGGCATACTGTGTGTGTCTGTGTGTGTGTGTATTTGATGGGGTTTCCATTGTGACATTGTGGTGTTGCTGTTACAGTGGATTTCAGTGTTTCCTATGACTAAAACTTTATCTTATTCCAAAGAGCAGGATCAAATTCCAGAGGTTAATTGAAGCACTAAAAAGAGTTTATAGCTTTGCAAGATATGTCTGTGTGCTACTTGGCAACTGCTTAAACATATTGCCGCATGAAAAATAATAAATCCCATGTGAGCCATCTGCAGAATTATCAGATGTCCGTGATTTAGATTTTCAGTTTAGTAAAAGTCTGTATAAAGAACTATATAAAGAAACACAACAGACTGTATTTCTATGGTGATTTTACATTATTTGTGTAACGGAGTCATCATGTAAATGAAGTCATTGGTGTAACAATGTGCTAACATCAATTACTTATTGCGACAATGATGTCCTATTCTTTTTTAATAGACATTCCTGAATAGAGATATTCCTCCCCTAATTATCCACTTAAACAAAGTTTTATTGTACTTTGGTTTTCATTTAGATTACAGTGGGGCAAAAAAGTATTTAGTCAGCCACCAATTGTGCAAGTTCTCCCACTTAAAAAGATGAGAGAGGCCTGTAATCTTCATCATAGGTATA